GAGTTTTGAGCACGTAATTTATAAAATAAACAAATAATATAAATGCGGATTCAAAACTGGTCATACAAAAAATAACAAAAGTATTTGTGTACTGCATCGGCCGGGAATCGAACCCGGGCCGCCCGCGTGGCAGGCGAGCATTCTACCACTGAACCACCGATGCTTGTTAGTAGTTGGTCAAATTGAGTATTATATTATTAAGTTCAATACTATGAAATTACATAATTTTGATTTATCACATTTAGAACGTAGCGATAGTAAATAATTATAATAATGTGCGCAATCTGATGAACGGTATGGCAGCTCATAAAATACGAACATACAAATATTAATTTTAGATATAAAACGTTTATTACATTTATTTAAATAACATAATATACAATATTTTATTATATACAATATTAAAAACTATAATAAAAAAATAACTAAAACTAGTAACTTAATTATCATACTTTCCTACTCCCCGCGGTATCGTGCCAAGAACGCTGGCTGCGTTTCCCCACTGAATGGCTATACTTAGCCTTTGAGCGAGAAAAGAACCAGCCCTCTTATAACCAGCGGCAACGACCAGTTACGAATGGAGTTCCTTTAGGAACACCACCGCACGTGGATCCCACGGACCGATAGTCTCCACAGCAAATGGCACAAATATGGTAGTCATCTCATATTTGCGCCACTTACTCAGTTCAGCTGCCTCTGATGCCGCCCCGGCTCTAAACGAGGTACCCCTGAGATGAGAGGCCGTCAAAATGTCTACGCAAGTAGCATCCCACACTAGGGCTTTACGTCTCTCCCAAAGGACCAATGTCATGCGGTCGGGTCTCTTGCCATCATCTCTAAATATTCCAAAAGGCTCTAAACCGGGGAAAAATGTATAAAGACAAGAGCCCTTCGGGGGACATCGTTCAAAGAACCGTGCCATGGAAACCTACCAGCACTTTTCCTACATGAGAATCCGTGGAGCCCAAACTTGTCGACGCTGCTACCACAGGGGCACTGATGGGGTTGACAAATCGCCGCTCCTAATCGGATTCCTACGGCAATGCGTAAGCTTTCCCCATCAAGTAATGTGCCGAGATTACTTGATGATAAAGCGTGCAACCAGTGGCTAGATTCCTTAGTCGAAACAGCTAGAAGGAGTGCCTGATCTTGGTCATTACGGAAATTAAGAAACAAATAATTCTGCACGTTCTGTACCAACGGAATATCCCACTGTTTTTGTTGGTTAACTTCTAGTGGACCATTTTCGCCGGGATAGAGCGTTCGCCATGTCTGCCCTGCCTCCGTAGCAAAATACAGGTCTACTTTACTATTCAAAATTATGTTACATAAGTCACTGACTATGCATGGAAGCAAGGAAAGCAGATTTCTCACACTAATACCACCAAATTTTACAGGTAGATATTACAATGTTACGTAAAGAAATGAGTATGATCTTATAATATATTACATAATATTGTAGGTATATTTAAAAATTTGGCTCGATTATAATGATTAACGGCATTTAGTCTGCATATTTTTTCATTTTCGAAAACTTATATTTTGAGTTACTTATGTTTTGAGCACATAATTTATAAAATAAACTAATAATATAAACGTGGATCCAAAACTGGTCCTACAAAAATAGACAAAAATATTTTCCTGCATCGGCCGGGAATCGAACCCGGGCCGCCCGCGTGGCAGGCGAGCATTCTACCACTGAACCACCGATGCTTGTTATTGTACGGTTAAATTGAGTATTATATTATTAAATTCAATACTATGAAATTACATAACAGTTTTCATTCACCACGTTTAGAACGTAGCGATAGTAAATAATTATAATAACGCGAATGAATCTTTATCTACGCTTCAACAAAGTTAACGCCAGTTATATAAGTATAAAAGTACTATTATCTCGACGATCTAAGTCGGCTATCATTGAATGGATGAAAGTCAAGCAAAAAGTAGATACCTATTTCGTTAGTTGTAGCAGTAAACCGAAAAATTCCTTTGCTTTTGTTATCCACAGCCTTTTGCTGAGTGATTTCTAGAAATAAATCTATGCAAATATAATATATTCTATATATTCATAATATAGATATTCATTTATTAATGGTAATGTAAAGAAAAACATTATATATAGGTACATATATATATATATATATATATATATATATATATATATATATATATATATATATATATATAATTATTATGTATATAATTATATACCTAGGTATATATAATAAAATTGAAGTGTATGTCTGTAATATCGAAATAGCTGTCTTTTATTGAAATTACTAGCGATAAGCCCCGGCTTCACCCGGTTGATTTCTGGATCTCAACAACAACGCCACCTATCGGGTCCAATTGTGAATCTAAACCATTCTCTAATCAACTTAAGCACACACGAAATTTCATCAAAGTCGGTCCAGCCGTTTAGGAGGAGTTCAGTCAAATACACACGGACCGAATAATTATATAATATACTAGCTCTTTACCCGCGGCTTCACTCGCGTGGTCTTCAATTTAGAAACACCATTAAATTGTATTCTGTGCCAAATTTAGCAAAATTCAATCACTTTTATAGTCACTTCGGTGTTTGTGTGTGTTATTTAAACATATAAATGTAAGTTATTTATTTTATTTTATTTATTAGTTATTGAAGGCAAATTATAGGCCTTTTTCATTCTATGATAGATGGCGCTATTTTGATAATTAAAACGTATATCGTCAGCGGAGTTTCATATTGTTATGCAAAGGTTAAAACTAGTTATAAACTTTATTTACAAATATGATATTTATTTGAAAAAATACCCGTCATCCCGCCTATTAACTTACATAATCATATATAATAGAAAATAAACATCTAAAGGAAGATAAATACTTAACCTTCTTTTTAAAGTTCCGTAATCGGATAAAAAGTAGCCTATAAGTTGCCCCGGGTTACTAACTATCTACATATAAAATTTTATGGAAATCGTTAGAGTAGTTTTTGTGTGAATCGGGAATACAGAGACAGAAAGACAGACAAAAATTCTAAAAACCACTAATTTGGCTTCAGTACCCTATGTTTAGTCCCCTGGACATGGTTTTTCAAGAGTATATAACAATTACAGACACGACTTTTCTAGAGATTTATTATAGGTATAGATAATATGCATGTATTATACATATAAACTTTTTTTTTTAAATAATTTTGTCTATTAATGAAAACCGCATCAAAATCCGTATTTTAAAAGATCTAATCTCGCCGTCTGTACGCGAGAAGCCTCTTTGTTTTATACTATGTAGAGATGGATGATTATTGGTGTGTCATTTCGACATGAATAGCTATTTGTAAAAATTGTGTCTATCTGTCCGTCTGTCTGTCTGTCCGTCAGGGCTAGTCGGAATTCAGCCGCTGAAGCGATTGTGATGAAACTTAACGAATAGACAGAGAGCAATGCCAGGAGTGATCTGGGATATTTTATCCGAAAAGTTTTGAGTATTTTTTGTAAAATGGAAATATTAATAAAATAAAGGGTCATTAATGACTATTTTAAAAAATCTAAATTATTCAACATAATAGAGTCCACCCAGGCGAAGTCTTAGCCAGCCGTGTCTTCCTAATATGAACCAGAAGAAAAAAAACAGCGATTGCAACCCGTCTGTAACGCATGGCAAATATTCCACCATGATGCAATCTAGCGGGGAGGCCTATATTCAGCGATATTCGAATAATATAATTTATACATTCTTCACCAGCTAGACAGGGGCCTTTCCTGTTGAATTTGAAATAATTATTACCACAGCCCCCCGTCACTGGTCTAGCATACGTCTGCCATAAACAAAATAGTTATACTGTCATTCATCGGAATATATGAGATCTTTATTCATCCCCCATCCCCAGGCATTTCCCAAAAACGCCTTTAACGGCCAAAGGACAAGCAGGCAATGGAATCATGCGCCGATACCACATGGCTACTGGCATTTAAACCTATGATATCAATTTTCCGTTACCAGTATGTTGAGAATCTGGGGTCAAAATAAAAACTTTTAACAAATAGTGAAACCGGACTTCAAAGAACTAAAAATTATTTAAATAAATGCGAGTGTCGTCGAACACTCGGTTGGGACGAAGTTCCTTTGGTAGTATATTATTATTGATAAACGTATTATATCATTGATTAACAAATACAAATAAATGAATTACTAGCGTCTATTAAAATGAAGCGTCATTTAAAATAGTATTTCCTTCATGGCAAGATAAAAAAAGTGCGAGGGAGTTGGATATTATTAACCATCTCGCTCGCACTATAAAAAGGGGGTCGTGACGGAAAAATCTCACACTTTTTCTCACCTAGCCCCCATCCCTCAAATTCTTACCGTGAGATAAGGAAATTCGTTCTAATAATTTCATATTCTGAAGTCGGGGCTTAAATTGTTCTGTACACTATGGCTTAACACCGACTTATTACTTTTTATTAAAAGTTATTTTTTGTTACTTTTTGAGTGGACTAAGGAATGTCACAATCTCAATAGCTATCACCGGAGAATTTTTAACTGAAAACGAGGCATTCCATCTTAGTCCTCAAGTCCCAACTCCAGGGGGGACAACGCATTATGTATTTTGATTCTTAATTGAGGATAAATGTATGTCTATGTATCCATACCACAGTATCCACATACCATCAGGTGGACTGTGTGCTCGTTTGTATATAACAACCTAAATAGTTACAATAGCAACTTCACTTCTTACTATGACACACTTGGGAGCAATATTTTCTTCAAATTTGTTTGGAATCGCCCTTGTAGTATCTATTTAATAAAAAAAAGGTTTTTCAAAATCGGGTCTCAATTGACGAAGATATCGCGTAACATATATACAAAGAAATTTAAAAAAATAAACATACAGTCGAATTAATCTAATTAGTTGTGTTCATTATTCTAATAATCTCTTTCTCACATCGAAATATAAAAAGTAAAGTGTAGTGTTTCCATATTTCCATGTTAAATTCTTCTTTTGATCGTGACAGATGCTGAAATCGTGCCGCCAGCTGACGATGACGGTGCGGACGGCCGGCGCACTGGTGGGCCGTGCGTCGTGTTCGTGGATGGATCGTTACGGGAGACCCGCCTCGCCGCCACCACAGCGCCCAATCCGCTCTGCAAGCAAGGACCGCTCTATACGCAGGGTACTTTATATTATTTATGGTCAATCCTGAGATAAAATTTATTCATAGGATAAAATAAAACATAGACAAATTAAAAATTACAGTTGTAGGAATATAAGTCTAATTGTTTCCCTTTTATATTCAGTCAGGCTATAATTCATTCTATGGATAACTTTTATCTCACGATTGATAAATCAGCCATATGATAAAGAATCTATATGAAGAAGAATGATATAATATATATCATTTACTAGCTGATCCCCGCGACTCCGGCCGCGTGGAGTTATTTTTCGTGGAGCCCTAAAATAAAACAGCCCAAGTTACTCCTTATAACATCAACTATCTGCCAGTGTGTATAGATGTTGACAAATATTGACATTAATATTTATGCGATACTAACGTCACTCAATTGTTTTGCCTTCCCGGAACCCCTCCACTAACACTCAAACTTTATAGTATGGTATTAAAGTTTAAATTGACTTTTAAGTATTATTAAGAACCTTTTGTATGCCAATATAGAAAAGTGTTGTTTCAGACTTATTCAGACAATTTTTTTTAATTTTTCTATCCGTAAGAACCATCTTCGTACTACAAGGAATAATATAAAAAAAGAATTAGCGAAATCTATTCTGCTGCTCTCGAGATTCGCGCTTGGCAACACATTCAGCGATTCATTTTTATGTTATATATTCAGAAAAAATAGTACACAATACATAGCTTAGAATAAAGCGGACTAGACTCCGTGCGGTGGCCGTGTTGCTATAAAGTGTACCAGAGAGATGTAAATTTTCTGTTAAAGTAATAGGTTTAACTGATAAATGATTGATAAACAGGCAATGTAACAGAATAATGATCATTGGATGTAGGTATATAAATAAATTAATGATACTTTCTCGTATTTTGTGACCCGATTTAAGTATATCACAGCTGAATGTTTTGGTTATTATAAACAGTTACAAAAAATTCTTCATATTGTGCTCATCACTTTGTGTGGTAGAGGGGTGGCCAACACTGCGACAAACTGTATGAGGCTGCCACTTTGTAACCTTTACTGTATCCACTGGTCTGTACATCGCCACTCCAGCTTGCAGCTCCGTTCAGCATCCACTTTCTAAAATATATTAGGATTCTCTTTTTTTTTCACCACACAGATTATATAAAATCGCGCCGCAAATTCGCAGCAAGATGACTTACCTTCTTCCTGTGGCAAGGAGACATATAAATGCAATATTAATTTAAACTAGAATTCGAAACTAATATTAACCCGCCCCGAACATTCGGGTACGATATATGACACTTTAAAAAATATTAAATAACCATTTTATAATATTGTCCTTTTTGAAAATTCATTAACTTGCGCAGGCGTGATTTTCCTAATTCAAATGAAAAAGCATTGTAAAGTTAGGTATTCATTTGTTTTGTTCTAAATATCGCTGTGTTTGCAATTCTATACCCGTGGGAAAATTGAAAATTAGTATGAAGTTACTCGAGGATTTGCTGATGTCCTGCTCATAAAGCTTCGACCAGACTTTGCTTTAATAAGTTTAATTGGAACACAAATAAGAGGATTCTGAATCTAAAAATGTTTACGTGGTAGAGCCACGCTGCAGCTATATTATGGTTGTACTACGAATGGGTCGACCACGCTCTCACAAAATACCGGCGTAAAATAGCAGCTTAATGCTGCTGTGTTTTGTATGGTGAATGTAGAGAACCGGAAAACCTTTTTACTGGAAATGAAGCATTCCATCTCAGTCTTCAGGGCTGACAACGTATTTGTATTTTGATTTTCAATTCAGGATAAATGTAGATGTCTATGGGCCACAGCATCCACTTACCATTAAGTGGACTGTGTGCTCGTTTGTCACTCTTGTTCTATATTTAAAGAAAATGTCACTTGTTATAAAAAGTAAATGCGAAATGATTATTAATAAGAAAAACTGTGTCATAAACACAAATTGAGTCAATAAAAGTCACTTATGTCGGTATGAGGGACATGCCAGTTTAAGCTTCTAAAGATCTTTTTTAATGGGGAAATGCAGTACGAGTATAACCGCCTGCTCGCGGGGGCAAGGATGAGTTTCCACGAAAACCCCCGAATACACTATGTTTCACAATCACCACATATCGGCAGAACTACGGGAACGCTTTTACACATATCCGTGGCCTCATCAGTGCCAACCTTGCCTTATCAGCCCCTCCTCAGGACCATTCCTCTCTTTCTCTCTTCACGGTCTACATTTCATTTTGATTGTTAGCTCGTTTATTACGCTACTACCATAAAATAGTTTTCGTCTTATTTCGATCAAAAGTTGAGCTAAAAACAAACAGGATAATGTTGTAAATTATAATAGCGTAGTTCCAGGCTTGAGCCATATTCCGCTTCCCTGGATATTCCAAATTTTTTGTCAACTTTTTTATTATTTTCTATCTTACCCCGCAGGTTTTAGTTCCGGGAATCGCCTATTATTAGGCATTATTTCGTTTACGAGTAATTATGCCCCTGGTGTTTCGGATATAAGAAGACCTCTCACCCATTTCATCCTTTGGGTATTACAAAAACCGATTTAAGGAAATGCCTAAGAGATGTTGTGGCTTTTAATTGATGATGTTAGTACTGACACGTTACGTTTAGATGTATGAAACCCAGACCGCTGACGAGGAGTAACGTTATGCGTTGAACATATGTGCAACGTCTGGTACTGTGATTACTATCTTGTATGGCAAATGTGATAATTATGACGTATCCCTTCTACTATACGAGAGGTCTATTAGAAGTATTTTAGTTGATTGCATGAATAGAAACAAAAACAGAAACAGAAACTTTTTTATTCAATTTAGATTATAAATAATACTTATTGAAAATCACTCTTTTGTTTAATTACCACTGGTTCGCAAAAACCTCTGTCCTGGGAAGAACTAGCAAGAAATCCAGCGGGACTTTTTTTAAATAACATCTTACAATCGTGTAATCACAATTAACCACCCAAAACAAATTAAAAATAGCTTGAGAGCGATCACCTCATTCCCAGGAGTTCCCAGTATCATCCATAAATTACTTAATATTATTATAAACCTTTTTATACAAACTTTGTTTAATAAAGTTTTTGAACTTTGAGCACGTTAAATTTTGTATATTTTCTGGGATAGAAAGAACAAATATATTTTTATTCCGCAAGAATAACCTTTTTTATAATTGTTCATTGTAACTGCAAATAAAACTACATTGAGTAGCAATCCTTAAATGTAAATCAATATAATGATAATGTATTCCTTATGAATTATAAATTGTTACTTACATTTTTACAATATTTAAGGATTACCTAGTTCAAGCGACCTACATCTTTAAGCTTATCATTGGATTTGTGCCGCTCTAAATAGAAACGAAAATGGTATTTCTTTATTCTTTAGTCTTTGTTGTCTCTTATCCTACGTCTTTTTGTAACGTTTTGTCAAGTTTATTTGATATAATAAAACATTTGTCTTAAGTCATAAATACATTTTAAATATTTATTAAAATAATAGTAGGTATATACTTTTATTTAGTTATGAAAATATTATATTAGAGCTAACGTCTTGTTAAGAGAAGATTTAAAAATATTATATTAAGCGTTCGTTTAATAAAGAGTTAGTTTGCAAGGGTAATCTATCGTCATCATCACTACAGGTTTTCACAAGTCTTTTTTAAAATTAAAGTAAGGGTGGTGAGGCTGACAATCGGGCGCACGGTCCACCGGATGGTAAGTGGATGCTGTGGTCCATAAACACCTACATCTATCCCCGATTACTAATCATAATGCAGATGCGTTGTCACCACTCAGGATTATGATGGAATGCCTTCATCATCATCATTACAGCCCTTCACAAGTCCACTGCTGAACATAGGCCTCCCCCAAAGAATGCCACAAAGCACGGTCCTGAGCCACCTGCATACATCGACTTCCTGCATGTCTTACCAGGTCGTCACTCCATCTCGTGGGGGGACGCCCTTCACTTCGCCTGCCGGTACGGAATGCCTTGTTACTATTAAATAGGGTCTCCGGTTCTTTATATTCACCATACAAGACACTGAGATTTATATTGCAATTTCACGCTAGTATTCTATGAGAGCGTGGCAGGACCACACAGTCGAGCTATGATAGATGTAGATGTCTATGGACCACAGCATCCACTTAGAATCAGGTGGATTGTAAGCTCATTTGTCACCCTTATTCTATTGAGTGTAGAGAGCCGATCCTTTTTAATAGTAACGAGATCTTAGTACTCAAGGGTGACAACGCTACTGAATTTTGAATTTAAATCGATGATAAATGTAGATGTTTATGGGCCTTAGGCATGGTATTTCTTCAAACATTAAAACGTTATATCTCCTCTAATCTCCTAGCTCAGATAAGAGTATATAACTCGTTACGTGGTAGAGCCATGCTGCAGCTATATTAGTAGTATAGTTGTAGCACGAATGAACCGGGGAAGGACCACGCTCTCACAGAATACCAACGTAAAATAGCAGCTTCAAGCTTAACACAGAAGTGTTTCGTATGGTGATTGTAGAGAACCGGAGATCATTTTTATTGAAAACGAGGCATTTCATCTTAGTCCTCACGGGTGACAACGAATCTGCATTTTGATTCGTAATCAAGGATAGATGCAGATGTCTATGGGTCGCAGCAACCACTTACCATCATATGGACTGTGTGCTCGTTTGTCACCCTTATTCTATAAAAAGAGATATGGTTTTTCAATGCTGGCCGCATGAGGAACCTCGAGGTTGCTCAGCGAGTAATGGGGATTGTTATGCTTAGTTTCCGATAGACTTCGTAATGATGATATCTGCATTAGAACCACCGTCAACTGATGGAAAGAAAGTAGTATGTAGTCTTATAGTTTTATAATGATTTTTTATACCTACGGGGATATTAACAATTAAGTTATTTATACCTACGCGAATATTAACTACTAAGTTATTTATACCTACGCGAATATTAACTACTAAGTTATTTATACCTACGCGAATATTAACT